GGGAGGAGTTTGGGTGCCGAATGGCGTGGGCCGACATTGGCGGAGCAAGCGGTAGTGCAGTAGGTCGTGGACGGGGTTCCTTGACGGGTCGCGTGGCGGATTTTTGAAGTGACTATGAAGCTCATGCGACTCGTCATGGACCCCTTACACGAGCTACATCCGATCTTCATGCACCACCAATGTCGGACCCGCCATCCTGCTCGGACCATCCAGAACGCATGGCTAATATCTATGCAACCTCGCGAGACAGCCAAGAGCATCATCCATGACCAAGAACGTTCACGTGCACCATGTTTCTCGGTCCATTCCTTCTAGCACGGACTGTAGCGATGTGACAGGTGGGTTAACGGCTTGCCACCACCTTGCCCGCACCCAGCTCCTAAGTACCTGGCTCATGACGAACCCTAGCTAATGCTTGCCTGGGAATGTGTCTCAAGGGCAAGTATAGCTTAGAATCGCTAGCCTAGTGAAGTTCCCAATGTCTCAACCGCACCCGCATCCATTGTATACAAAAGTGCATATTAGTGTAGAAGTAGTGAAGTAGATTAAGAAGATTTCATAGTGATGAGGATTAAGGAGATCTTTGTAGATCTTCAGTTAATTCATTGTGCATTTTGCCCTCAACTACACACACTTCCTCCCGCAGTGCTACACGGACCGCCCAATCAAATCTCGGCCTTCCACCATGAACTCCTTTCATAGTCCTTGACTACTAGGTTACGCCGGGTATATAGTTTGGACTATGGAAATAGTTCTTGGTGGGACGCAGAGGCTTAGATGGATTGTGCGCGCAGCAAGGGATAATAACCCTAGGAAAGTGGTTCACGTGAACGATGTTTGCGCCAGTTTGGAGGGACTCGATGTTTAGTTGACGTAAGCCATGAAGTTTGGTGGGTTAAGATGTGACCTAGTCCATGCGAGTAGTTCGGGGTGAGTTTCGTGGGAGTTGGATTGATATTGAGTTAAGCAGTGTACCGTATAACCTATGTCGTTCTAGGGGGTTATCTCCTTCCGGGTTCCTCTATTTATCAATATTCAAATACGCAGCAAGAGCAAAATATGATAGAGGTTTGACTTTCGCACCAAAATAACCCCTTATAAACCATAAAACCTCTCGGCCATAAATACTATATTCATGTATAGAGGTTTTTTGCCCGCGCAAACAGGAATCGCGCTCTTTCATCAAGAGACGTAACTTCACTCCATTCGACATGGAGAACACGCGGGTCCAAACGGTTCGGTTGAAGCCTCGAGGCCGGCCACGCATCACCCCTGGGCCTCCCAAGCCGCCCAAGAAGTTCCGTAACACCCTGACCTCGTACAAGATGAAGTGGGCAGTGATAGAATCCTTCGACAGTGTTGGCATGGCGGAAATACTGGCACGGTTCTTCCCTCACCACAAAGATGGCCGCTTGGACTCCACACGCAAGAAGGTGTACTAATGGACCGCATCGACCGAACCTACTTGGCAAGCTGCTCCTCGGAAGCCTTAGGCAACGTCGTGGCCATGCCAGGAGATCGTGCGCACATGTGGGCGGAAATCTTTGGATTACTTGCCTTATCCCTAATGAGTACACGGTTTTGGGACAGACGGTGTTCCTGTGACATCCCGCATGATTCAAGTTATGGCACTTGAGATGGCCATTGACTCTGGTATCGAGCAGCGAGCATTCACTGCAAGCTGGTCGTGGTTCCAAGGCTTCAAGAAGCGTTTTAAGCTGACGCTACGTGCAGGCACACGCATCGGTCAAGACACGCAAGGAGACGGCGACAAGGCTCTCGCAACATTTGCTGCCCGTGTCGCCCAAGTCATGCGCGACAACAACATTGACGTCGTTTACTCTGCCGACCAAACTGCGGTCAACTACGAGTACCTCCCGTGAGGTCCTCCACGAGCTTTTCACAGTCGTTTCTCGCCAAACTATATATCGATATATGGTTCTCATCGTAGAGATCGACACTCTAGCAGCAATGTGTAGCTCGATGCAAATGATGACTAAGATTTTAGCTGCAAAGAACAATCTTGAGCATATTTTTCATGACGATGAATAAAATATTTTAATGTTAGGCTGGACTATATCATATTTTTGGACTTTAGGTTGGTTTCTAGGACTATTACACTTTGTTTACTGATTTGAAGAGGTAGTCTTCAAATATTCTAGAAGATTATAAAAAACAGGAAAATGGAAAAATATTTATAATAATACTGAACCAAAGAGTTGATTTGGCAAAATATTTTAGATTTGAAGTCTGTATGTGAGTACCCCATGAGAAGTCTTTATGTGAGATACTTAAAACAAGGATAATTTGATCCTTTTTAGGACTAATATGAGATGCCAAAATGCAAATTAGCATATTATTATTAAAAATCATATTCTACATATATGCTTCCCACATTTTGCTTGCAATCGATTCTCGCCAGCGCTCGTTCGCATAATCCAGTGTTTGCAGTGCATCTTGATGTAAAAAGCCATCGATTGTATCACAAGCCGTTTCACTGTAAAGCTTTCGTAGTGCTCACTACAGCTAACGAGATGCGAATAGTGTCCATTCCACTTTGAACTTTCCAGCCCTGACGTCAGGGGGCGACGGATTTTAAGGGACACTTGCTTCTTCCAATTTGCCAATTCATCGGAAATGATTGGTTAAATAACTTCGAACTTCGATGGAAATCTCAATCTTTAGCCAATCACAAAATGACTTTTACAAATTCAAGTCTTATTGGCTACAATATTATGTGCTTCCATATGTGTAGTACAGAACTGTAGTCTCAGTTGCTGAGTGCCTGTGATGCACATAGCCATGGCGTCAGCGCGTGAAAGTATTGGGTAAGGATAATTTTTGAGTACAGGTAGATGGGGAATACGGTAGGCCTGTGTCGTCTTCGACACCTGTGATTTCCCTGACAAACATGTATCCATTATGAGCAATTAACAATTTTGTTAGGTAATCTGCGGGGCAGGGCAAGGAGCTTACCCGCTGTCCGGATGATTCTGCATGGTTAGCGTGAGTAACGTATCGTATTCAAGCAGTACGTACTCATATGATCTATTGAGGCTTTCTTGTAAAAAAAAACCGCGATTAATTGACTCACAGGAGTGATCATAAATTGGTCATTTACGTTAATAAATACCCTATCCGCACAATTTGTATGCATGGAGCCACACATAGTCCAAGGTTCAAAAAAGTGATTATCCTTCGGTGCTCAAAAATAGAGTTAACTTGCTTGGTGCTCAAAAAGAGAGTTAACTTGCTTGGAAAGGCGGATTCTTTTCTTAGAAGTACATCTTGAATTGTAATAATTCGATTGTGAAGTGAAAGCCCTGTGCTCGGTTGTTAAGAATCACTTCACAGAATGTGGAAAGACTTCCTGCTGTGAGCGGAGATACCCGGTATGCCAATTCTACGGCGACTACTCCGAAAAAGTGATCAAAAATTGACTTCTTAATGGGATTCGCAAGGTGAGACAACTTGCTACTTTTTAATATCCAATAAGAGTCCATCACACCTCGTTTCTTCCACACGATTGGCTACACTGGCAGCAGAGCTACAATTTTGAAAAAATTGGGTGGACGTTGAACTTTGTAGAGCTTTGTGTGATGCTCCTGAGAGTTGTGCTATATCCAGGGTGGTACTCCCCTTACAGCTAACATTATACGGTATATGTTGTGCTCTCGGTTGGATCGCAATGCCGTGGCGGCTCTGGTGGGCCAAAGCGGTGGCGCCCGCACAACCACGTGATCACACCGGAGGTTTTCGGCGCCGACACGGGCTGGAGGGTGGAATGAGGGATGATCACGTTCATTGGGGTAGTAGGCAAGTGGTGATGTGACTGAAGTCTAGACCTGTTGGAATTGACCGAGTCCTGAATACCACATCACATGATCTTGCTGTCATACACAGCCTATATAATTATTTTAATGCTCCTTGCATCAACCGCCATCACAAGTGTAGAATATATCGCGACAGGGCGTGATGAATCTACGCAGCGATTTTTGTGATTTCACGGCATTTGATTAGCCAAATTGGACAATTTTGAATTCGCAAGGTGACCTGTCCAAAAAGAGACAGGCACATGAAAAATAAAAATCAAGATTACAACTTAAAGATACTATTCGTTACTACTCTTACTTCGAAGTATTAACACTTCCAAATTCAGAATTATTCATGGAATTCGCAAAGCGTTCTGCACACAAAATTGCCAATTCCACCTCTGGTTCATGTTCATTTGATTTACATTGCAGTAGCATCTAAAGGGCCGTTTGCATTTGTGCAGCCTAACTGGTTCATGTGGTTTCGTTTTCTAGAGTTCATGTATCTCCCGTACGAAGTATAGTCGTCAATACACTGAGAAGGAATGTCCAGGTTGGTTGTGAAGTAAACGAAAAAAACAGGCATTTACTGAGCACATCAAAAGCACAATACACTCTACGCAACTTTAAACAAAGTATGCTAGTAGGTCCGAGAGCACTTAGACGTTGCGGACACCCGAAGTAACGCCTGCCTTGGCAGAAGCGTAGCCGAGTTCGCCCTTGAGGTAGCAATGACCTTGGTAGTGCGAGTAACCCTTGCAGTTGTCAGCTGTCAAGCACAACGCGCAGCAGTCGTCCTTGTCGGCAGAAATACGGGCGATGTCGTTGCCGTAGTAGTCCACGTTGGCTTGGGCAGCTTGGCACGAACCAACAGACTTGGTGACCTTGGCGGCCTTAGCGCCCCAGTAAGGAGCAGACTTGCCAGCCTTCCACTTCAAGAAGCACGTGCCGTCGTTCCAAGGGGTCCACACGTACACAACGCAGCCAGGGGTCTTGGCACAGTCGTCGCAGCAGTCGTCGCTGTTGGACCGTTGGGTGGACTTGATATCGTTGCCGTAGTAATCCACGCCGTCCACAGGCTTATCGCACACGCTGGGCTTGGTGGTCGTAGGCGTAGGCGTAGCCTTGGTGGTGGTAGGGGTGACAGCGGTCGTAGGCTTGGGGGTGATGTTGGTAGGACATGGAGTGGTACCAGTGGGCTTGGGGGTGATGTTGGTAGGGCAAGGGGTCGTGCCGGTAGGTT